GGTATCCCAGAGTTCTTTTAGGCAGAGGGGCAACCTTGGGTAAGAAGGTGTTGCAGTTGGTGGGATGGGACAGCTAGATCACTGGCAGTGGCCAAAGGATCTGTAACAATGTGCAGGTGAGGTTGACTCTTGGCCAGGGAATTCTCTATTGCTGGCACAATTATCTGGAATTTACTAATCAGTCTGATGCAATGTGTGATCAGGGCTGGCCTGTGTGATCTGGGGAAAGGACAAAGTGACTCTGCAGTGGACCCATCAGGTGTGCTGGTGCACACGGTGCATAAGAACTCCATGGTCATGGGTCCCCAAGTCACTCCTTAAGTGCCAACGTGTCTGAAAAGGAGGGGACCTCCTCCAGAATGAATTACGTCAATTAGAGAAGAGGGGAACACACCTCCTCCTGTAGGTGATATGCCAGAAGCGCCGTTTATTGCTTTATCCTGTAAGTTCCCATATCTCCTCAAAAGGAGTTCTCTATTTGGCAAGCCTGAGGGGTGCTGCATTCAGGCCCAAAGGCAAAATAGGTGCTGGCTGTGAAAGACCATCAACTCGGGCCCTAAGAGGGCCTCCATTTACAAAAATAGTCTGTGGGTTGACAGCAGTGGCTTCTCTGTGTGCAGCACTGAATGAAGAGAAGTTTCTGGTACAAGAATGCCTGGGGCAATTTATGTCCACAGGGAGAGGTTTAGAGACTCTGGATGCAGAATGGGAGGCTGCTACAGCCTCTACGGGAGAGGGGTGTGTGGAGGAAGAGACTAATGGAGGGACAGTGATTTCAAAAACTTCTAGAATCATTTGTCACCCAATTCAAACTCAGTCAACTTGTAAGTGTTGTATGAATAAGTAAGCATACAGATCTGGTAATTATGTGATGTCTGTGGTCACTGTGACCGACAGAATGTGCCCATGACATGGTTTCTACCACTGCTTCTGTCACCCTCTCAGCTCACAGACCCCTCCTGTTGCCTCAGAGAAATTGTCCAGAGGGGACTTGTGTGGATTTCTAAAGATGTTTCCAAGTCAGCAGGCACAGAGTAGGCTCGACTTGGGCAGTAAACAGCTGGAAATGGCCTACGGACGGCACTGAGAAGAAATGAGGCTGATGCCCATGAATGAGGATGTCCACGGTTACGTCCCTCTTGGGATACACTTTATGTTTCAGAACCACAGTATTTCTACGGATCTGTCCACAGAACCTGATTTAAACTCAAGGACAGTTTCTAGGAGCCCTGTCATTTCACTCCTGTTATGAGTCCGAAATGAGGGCAGGCGCAACCCTAGGGGGTGTTTTCTCAGTTAAGACAGGGTTGCAAGAAAGGCCTGTTGAGCACTGAGTCCTTCTTGCCCAGTCCTTCATTCTTCCTAAGAAGGATCCCATAGTGCTAAAAAGAACTGTTGAATGCATAAAAACCAAGGTTCAGGAGAGTTGAACATTCTCCTAACATAGGAAATTGATTCTGTTTTTCATTTTCCATTAATTATATACATTTATGATATTTTAGGTATACTTATGAATTTCCACAAATGCATACTAATACAGCTGTCAAAAGATGGAAAACATGCCATCTCCAAGAAGAACACTCTCATCGTGCCCATTTGAATGAAACCCCACCAATACGGAGGTTAACACTAAAAAAAGTTGAGCTTACTGGTTTCTTTTGCTCTTTATTAAACCTTGTAGCTGTTACTGTTGTTTGCCTCTTCTCCACAACATGTGCGTCTAAGCATATGGAAATAAAATGTATGAACAGCAAAATGGCTTGGAGGGGCTTTGCGGAACATTGAAACTAACAACTTCCAGCTACTCCTGGGATAAAAAGACCCTATTTTCTATTTCTCTTTTTATATTCAAGTAGGATATTACTCAAAGTGACACCCTCTCTCTCCAGCTCACTCAATTATTCCTGGGATGGTTGCCTCTAACCATCCAGAGCTCTTTGTGCTGTTTCCACGGGGAGATCACAGTGGACTCACAGAGATGTCACTCTACTCATAGAACTCACTCAGGATGAGCTAGAATAGTGCAGGTGAAGGCAACTGTCTCTCTAAGTGGGAGGAACTCCATGGTTTACTGGGGTGTATGCTGCACACTCCAGTCTGTAGAGCAGCAAAATGAAAATGCCAAAGACTGTAATATTTTAAGTATTTAAAGGTAAAATAAAACTCCTCTCAAATGACATTTAAAACAAAGACACCACAAGTATCTGTGGCTTAAATAGGTAGGAAGTTTCAGGTCCCAGACACCAATAATAATGACATCCTCACTCACTCCTACCCTCATAGAAAAGATACATACACACCTCAGCCTCCCCATTAGCTCATATAGCTTTTTACTTTCCTTCAAAGCCGTTAATTCCATCTTATCAGATAAAGCTTTATGATTTATTAATCACCTCTCTTTCCCCACAACATATAAGCACAAGGACTGCAAAAACTTGTTTGTTTCCTGCTGTTATATCCAAATCCCACTGGGCCTTATTTCTGACACATTGGCTACATTGCCTCTCAAGTGCATGGCAGATGACGGATGCTGAAACACTAGCATCAAGAGCACAGTCTCTGAGCAAGAAAGGCTGGATTGGCACCATGGTCCTGTCTCTCTCCCTTGCTGGGTTTGTATTGTCTTACGATTTACCTAAACCCAAAGCCCTCGGGTGAGTCATAAAGAAGATACTAAAGATATAATGTGGTATACTAAGAACTGAATTTATATAATGTCACTGAGGTACTTCACGGTCAACACTGTCTAACACACTCTAGGAAATACATCAGTGCTTTGATAATAAGTAGGAAAGGCAAAGCTGTTCCAGAGGGCCAGGAGCTGGCTGCATCCACTGCAAGGCCCAGTATTACCCTGCTGAAGAGAAAAATGTCCCACACCTTTTCATCAAAGGTACATGTTCACTAAGACTAAACTAAGGGTATTTTGTAACCATACCAGTAAAAATGGTAAAAGATAAAATTCTAAATCATAAAGATGACTAATAGTGCCTTTTTACTAAAATGACTGACTGGAACTTCTTACAATTTAACGTTAACTCCACTATGTTGCTTTTGCCTACTAGAACACAATGATTAGATTTACCAAAGATAAAATGCTCACCAGAAACAAAAGTAAACCTCCTCACACACTTGATACAGAAAGTGGCCTGCCTCCTTGAATAGCAATCACATCCACAAACACAGGCCACACTCTTGTAAGCAGTCCTTCTGAGCACCCTGCTGCTGTTACACCTCACCATCCTCTATGGCCTGTGGTCATTCCTGCTAGAATCTGTTACAACCCCCTCTTTGAATACAGGTGCAATCCTGCAGGTCACAAGCAAGAAAGTACTGAAAACACAGTGACTGTTAAGTTTTGGGTTAAGAATAAATGACAAATTAGTTTCATGACAGAAATTGTAACTATAAAAGAATAAAAAATAAAGTTAGCCTGAGGAAAAAACATTTGAATTTGTCTGCGTGTACTAAAACAGACTCATAATGTATAACAGTTACATGAAGAAGATTGCAAAAAATCCATAATTAAGATGATTTTAATATATTCTGAGAAAATGAAAACCACAATATTTAGTAGCATATGATAGATTAGAACAGTTGATGAAATGTATCAATGAAAGAACTACAGAACTGTTTATTTTTCAAGGAAATGTACCTAGTTTAATGACATACAATCAAACATTATTGAAAACAGATTGAGGGAATACATTCAGCTACAAGTAAGAGGAAATACATGTCCTTTTCCTTACGTGAGAAAGGTGATTGTTCTCACATGGAAGAACTGGGTCCAGGCAGCCGCTGCACAAGGCAGCAGAGAAACAGACTCCTATGTCCTGTTTATGCCCCATTGTATGTGTCATGGTGAATCAGGAAAACAAGCTCATTGGCACTATGAACAGCATAAAGTGTTTCCTATACACATTAGACCTGATTCAGGTATCATTTAAAGAGGGGAATCAGAGAATCTTCTCCACCACAAAGGTCTGAATTAGTTTCATAGTGGACACAAGAGACCTCAGAGAAAACCCCGAACTGTAATGGATTTTTCATGTTAACCTTGTATAAACATCAGGGAAAAATACATGTCTAAGAAAATGAAAATCAAACAGTTGATGGTGGTTTTCAACTTGACTAGAAGGTCAAAGAATTCAGAAAATGGGATGGAAGATGGTGTCCTCAAAGCTCCTATGCAACTGTCCCTCTCCCTGTGTGGTGGCTCCAGAATCTGCCTAAGGCCTTGTGTGCTTCTGCCTTCCAAACCTCATGCAAGTGAGGCTATTGGGGAATTCCAACATGGAACCATAAAGGGGATGGATTCTTAAAGATCTAGCTCTTAATATTATCCTCATTTACATAACACAATACAGAGTTGGTATGTCCAGCAATAGATTTTGTTGCCCTATTAGAGGTCTCTACTGAATTCAGTCTACTCACCAAATATCAGTCAGAAGGAAAGACAAAGAACAAAGGCACAAATTTGAAAATAAGGATTTATAGGGAAGTATACCCATTGATAAACATCATACATAAAAACTTATTCCAACTGTTTAATAGTATAGAAAATAGAAACAGGCTCCAAAAAAGGAGCTTTCTCAAAGAAAGGAACAATACATACAGTGGATTAGGTATATTCAGGAACTGCCATACAAGGCCAGGAAGAAAATGCTGAGAAATACAAACAGCCATTTTTCAATGGTCCCTTAACACAGAGAAAATTAAACCTTATAAGAGAAATTAATGAGAAAACATTAAGTGATTCGAGTGAAAAGCAATACCAATTAATTTTTATGTACTATTGAATAAGGATGACTTGCACAATTATCTTACCTCAATATTCATTTCTGAAAGTAATTAATAGAAATTCACACTCCAAAGTCTCACTCTAAGACAGACACTTGGTAAACACAATATATTTACAACATTTAGGACAAGCCTTTCAAGTTGAAATTTTTGTAGAACATAATACACAAATTCCCATCAATCCTTCTCATATTACTTACATTTATATTTCTTTTTGGTGGAAGTTTCACCTAAATGGATGTGGGGAATTAAAGTCTTTCTCACACTGTTTACACTCCAGAGGTTTTTTTATCAAGTGTGTCCTTTCATGCCTTCAGAAGAATTGAGATTAAAAAATACTTTCCTGGGGCCGGCCCAGTGGTCGAGTAGTTAAGTTCACGCGCTCCACTGTGGCAGCCCAGGGTTTCGCTGGTTCGCATCCTGGGCGCGGACATGGCACCACTCATTAGGCCATGTTGAGGCAGTGTCCCAAATGCCACAACTAGAAGGACCCACAACTAAAATATACAACCACATACTGGGGGGATCTTGGGGAGAAAAAGCAGAAAACAAAAAAAAAAAAGGCTTTCCCACATTTAGAGTTACATGACTTTTCCACTAGTGTGCATTCTCCCATACCCTCAAAGTTTGCCTGACAAAGAAAGGCTTTCCCAGTTTTGACATTCATAGGATTTATCTCCAGTGTGAGTTCTCTCATACCTTTGAAGAGAACTGGCAAACTAAACGGTTTACTGTAATTTTTCCATTAATACATTTTCTGTCCGGTAAGATTTCCTTTATGTATTTGGAAAACTAGATGTGAACTGAAGGCTTTCCCACATTCTTCACATTTATGTGTTTTTTCTTCTAGTCAACACTCTTCAATATCCTTGAAAGTTTTCATGAGAAATAAAGGTTTTCCCATTTTCCTGATATAGTGTTTCCCTCTGGTGAGAATTATGATGTCTTTGAAGTGATCCGAGAGAAGTGAATGCTTTACCGCATTTTTCCCATTCATATGGTTTCTCTCCAGTGTGAGTCCTTTCATGTACATGAACATGACTGAAAGACCTGAAGGCTTGACCACATATTTTATATTCATAGGGATTCTCTCCAGCATGAGTTCTTTCATGTTGTTGAAGAGAACTGCTGCAACTGGAGGCTTTACTGCATTCTTTACATTCATATGGATTCTCTCCAGTGTGACTCCTTTCATGTATTTGTAATGCAAGGGGAGAAAAGATTACTTTCTCACATTCCTTCCATTTATAAGGTCCATCACTGGTGTGAAAGATTGTGTGTGACTGAAGGCTTGAGGGATCTGTAAAGGCTTTCCCACATTCCTTACGTTCATAGGGTTTCCCCCCAGTATGAATTCTTTCATGTACTCGAAGAGAACTGGAATAAACGTATGATTTACTGCATTTTTCACATTCATATGGTTTCTTTCCAGTATGAATTATTTCATGTATTTGAAGAGAACTGGAAGAAGTGAATGCTTTACTGCATTTTTTACATTCATAGGATTTCTCTCCAGTATGAGCTCTTTCATGTACATGAACATTACTGGAAAACCTGAAGGCTTTACCACATATTTTACATTTGTAGGGTTTCTCTCCAGTATGAGTTCTTTCATGTTTTCTAAGAGAACTGGTACAACTGAAGGTTCTACTGCATTCTTTACATTCATAGGGTTTCTCTCCAGTATGAGTCCTTTCATGTATTTGAACTGCAGTGGAAGAAATGAATATTTTCTCACATTCCTTACACTTATGGGGTCCATCTCCAGTGTGATAGACCATGTGAGATCGAAGGCTCGAGGGATGCATAAAGGCTTTGCCACATTCCTTACATTCATAGAGCTTCTCTCCAGTGTGAAATCTTTCATGTCTTTGAAGAGAACTGGAATAAGTGAATGCTTTACTGCATTTTTTACATTTATAGGGTTTCTCTCCAGTATGAGTTCTTTCATGTTCTTTAACCTTACTGGAAAAAATGAAGGCTTTACCACATATGTTACATACATAGGGTTTCACCCCACTATGAATTCTTTCATGTACCCGAAGAGAGCTGGAAGAAGTGAAGGCTTTACTGCATCTTTGACATTCATAGGGTTTCATTCCAGTATGAGTTCTTTCATGTATTTGAAGAAAACTGGGAAAAGGGAAGGCTTTTTCACATTCCTTACATTTGTATGGCTTCTGCCCATGTTTTTGATACTCATATGGTTTGTGTTCTGTATGACATCCAATGTATCTTGTAAGGGATGAATCGTGCATGGAGACTTTTTCACATGCACTGCATTCCCATGGTTTAGCTCCAGTAATTTCCTTGTACAGACTGAGATTTGGAATAAGGCTGAAGTTTTCTCCACATCGACTACCCTCTTCACTTTCACAGAGTCTGTCTACAATATGACTTCTGTAAAAAATGAGAACATTATTAATGTTTATTAATGATTTTATTTTCTTATATTTTCATGATTTACTGAAGAAGTTTAGGTTTTCTACACTGTCTGAAACAGAATATACTGAATGCTCTGCAATAGGAATTCACCCTTGCTATTATCCAAACAGTAGTATTCAGATACAGGGCTTATTAATACTATTTCCAAGTGACTATTTTGCAAAAACTGAATCTCTACATCAAAGTTCAGAAAATACATTTGGTAAAAATTTTCTAAAAATAGCTAAATATAAAGCAAGAGTCACTTGTCTTGTTTGCTTGTTTTTTTTTTTGAGGAAAACTAGCCCTAAGCTAACATTTGCCACCAATTCTCCCTTTTTTTTTTTTTTCTGAGGGAAGACTGACCCTGAGCTAACATCTGTGCCCATCTTCCTCTACTTTATGTGGGACGCCTACCACAGCATGGCTTGACAAGTGGTGCACAGGTCCGTACCCAGGATCCAAAGCAGCAAACCCTGGGCTGCCAAAGTAGAAAGTGCGAACTTAACTGCTTTGCCATCAGGCTTGGCCTCTTGTTTGCTTCTTTTTAAAATTTTATAACATACCAGGATTCTCACATGAGACACTGCTTTCTATTGTGCGTGCAACTCACCTTAGTTTTTGCCCCTGGTTTTTGTACTGATCTTCAACACCATGATCTTTCCATGTTCTTCCTGAAATGCAGACTCATAAAGTTGATTTCAAGGTATGAGAAATGATAAAAAAATTTTTAGATTCTAAGCTCATGATGAGCTATGACCATTTCTACCTCATATACCAACACCTCCCCCATCCACATTCTACATTTTAGAACAACGTTGAAGGGCAAGGAACACTTGTTCTCTCATTGGTGAAGGGAAGGAATGTCCGCATTCTTACCTATCGAGGCCAGGATCCTGAATGTTTCCCACATCACATCTCTGTAGAGTCTCTTCTGTGAAGAATCCAGTAAAGCCCACTCCTCTGGGGTGAAGTTCACAGCCACATCCTCAATGGTCACTGAGTCCTAAAACACCACAAATATGCGAAGAGCAGGATGCATAAGAGTGAAAACACTGGACGTCCACACTCCATTTGTAGGAAGGTTATGTACAAATCCCTCAGACCCAAACATGTTTTGTATGATTTGATCATCAAAAACTCATTGTTTTTCTATACAGTTTCTCTTCAATTTAACAGCATCATGAACACATGAAAATTATTTACATGTTTTATTGTGATTACATTACATCATGTTTCTCTCTAATGGCAGAGTCCAGGGTATACTGGGAAATGACAGAAATGCATACAAAGTAAACAAATATTGTCATTTTAAGAATGATTATTACTTGTGAGAAAAATTCCTTCATCTTCATCTTTATTACCCACCAGTTAACAGCACTCCATGAGGCAGAGGGACAAATCTTCATAAGGTTTCAGTGAAGAAAAACAAAGAGAAGAACTGGAAGTTTTTTTGTCTATTCCATCACCATACAGAGTCCAGGAGGCTGTAGAAGTCAAACTTCTAACAAAGCCCAGCGAGCCACATTGTCCTAAAGTATTCCAGCTTATTACGAGATGCAGCTGGCTGAATGTAATGATCTTGTGGTGAAGCATTGCTTTTTAACTTGTGTAATATTTATCATAGGCTCAGTTCTTCCCTTCTCTCTCTGTACAATTAGATGAGGCTAGAAAGTTATTTGGAACTTAAGAGCTCAGACACAAGGAAAAAGGCATGACAACTTAGACCACAAAATCCCTAAACTCATATGCCTCAAGGCTACTTCACATCAGTTTCAGAACAGAGTGAGATAATAATGTGCCATCACAGCCCTCTCCAGTCAACTGCCAACACTGTATCCTGGGCCTGGCTGGCCTTGAGGGGTAAGTTAAGAGCTGCAGATTGCAAGGGAGTTCACTGGAGTCCACAAAGGTTTGATGGTCAAATTGGCCAAGATTATAGAATACATAAAGGATTCAACAGTGCTTTCATACAACAGAACATAAAATTTCCATTCTCCAACTTCAAGAGGAAGTGTTTCCTCACCAGCCAGTTTAGATGATGCCCTGCCAAATTCTGATATGACACTTAAGGAACTTAGAAAATATCATTCTTGATCTCACAAGAGAAAAATGAACAAACTTGAAATGAAAGACTCTTCTTAGATCCATGAGTGCCTGGAGGTCACACGACAAATGAGTCTCTCCAAAAGTGAGAAAGAGAAAACAAACACAGTATTGTTTTTCCTTTTTGTTTTTTAAATTACTTTATTGAGGTCAAATGGTTTATAACTTGTAATTTCAGGTGTAATTATTATATATCAGTTTCTGTACAGACTACATTATGCTCCCCACCAATAGTCTAGTTTTAATCCGTTGCCATGTATATGTGCCACTTTACCCCTTTCGGCCACTCCCCTCTCCTTCCCCTGCAATAACCACTAATCCTTGCTCTCTCTCCATGTGTTGGTTTATCTTCCCCATATGAGTGAAAACATACAGTGTTTGTCTTTCTCTGGCTTATTTCACTCAACATAATATGCTCAAGGTCCATCCATGTTCTTGCAAATAGGATGATTTTGTCTTTTTTAATGGCTGAGTAGTATTCTATTGTATACATACACCATGTCTTCTTTATCCATGCCTCAGTCAATGGATACGTGGTTGCTTCCACGTCTTGGCTACTGCGAATAATACTGCAATGAACCTAGGGGTGCATAAGTCTCCTCGTATTGTTGATTTCATGTTCTTTGGATAAATAGTAATGGATTAGCTGGATTCTGTTATTTCTATTTTTATTTTTCTGAGAAATTTCCATACTGTTTTCCATGGTGACTGCACCTGTTTGCATTCCCACCAGCAGCATATGAGGTTTCTCTTTTCTCCACATCCTCTCCAACCCTTGTTATTTCTTGTCTTGTTAATTATAGCCATTCTGACAGGCTTGATGTGGTATCTCACTGTAGTTTTTATTTGCATTTCCTAATAATTAGTGACAGAGAACATCTTTTCACGTGCCTGTTAGCCATCTGTATATCTTCTT